AATTTATAAAAGTTGTAATTTACTGAACCATGCTTTAGACAGTCACACCATAGGACAATTTTGAGATTTGGCTCAAAAATGTAAAAAATGTAATAACACTGCAGCTTTTATAACAACAGGTCCATGTAGGGCAAAGAAATATATAATGATTTACTGCATTTTAAATAACGACAATATTAATGATATTAATTTTAATCTTGTGGGACAGTGAAAGTGCCATGTCACGTCAACAACCCATATGCACATACCAACTTGCAGGTTTCCAGGTGCTTCTTTAACCCATCCACTGTCTTTCTTCCAACACTTTTGCATTTTGGGCAGCTTACTCTACCCTTTGCCAAGATCTGAAGCTGCCATTTTTCCTCCTGACTTCCTGTAAAGAACCACAAAATATATATTATGAATACTTAAAAAATATGTCTGTGCTGTTTTCATTTAGCCACTGTCTCATTTACCTGGCGGATAAACAGGTGACTCCTTCTTTTAAAAGTCGACATTAAACATGACTAACAACCAGGCTCTTTTCAAACTGGGCAGATTACACGACGTTTCTGGTCTCGTGAAGGTCGCTTCGGAGAGGAATTCGTCGTTCCGAACAAGAATAAACAACTGAATCCTTTCACAAGGCTGTTATCAAAGCAGACTGCGTCTCAGTCAGTTCCCTAGGTAGTGAATCACTAGATCGTGCACACGAGTCCCTGCACTGGTAAAGAGACCATTAGTGATGGGAAGTTCGGATCATTTTACCGACTCGGACCTTTGAGTCTCGTTCAGCAAAATGAACTAATAAAATCAGGATATGGTGTCACACCATAGGACATGGTTTTCAGAGACAAAATGTATTAAGTTCCTACACTTTCAGAAACATATAGATGAAAAAAATTATTGCCATTTACTAAAATAGACACTTGTACAATTATGCCGGGCGTATTTATTAACATGTTTATGCTTTTCTTTTTAATTTATAAAAGTTGTAATTTACTGAACTATGCTTGGGACAGTCACACCATAGGACAATTTTGACATTTGGCTCAAAAATGTAAAAAATCTAATAACTCTGCAGCTTTTTTAACAACAGGCTTCTCGTATGAACAGCGCTGGAGTGATTTACTTAAATAACACGTGTGTGGTCAGTGCAGAAAGAGACTTTTACTCCAGAAATGCCCTTCGTTCAACCGTTAAAAACAATCATATTGTGTCTAATGTTCGTCCATTCATAAAAAGTCACCTGCATTAAGTCAGTCTGGACTGGAGCGCTGCACGGGCCTCAAATATAGGCCCTAGTGATGGGAAGTTCGGATCATTTTACCGGCTCGGACCTTTGAGTCTCGTTCAGCAAAATGAACTAATCTTTTTTCTAGTCATTTGGATCATTTCGTTCATTTTAGCGAAATATAATTAAAATGTTACGTGTTACTTCCCTAACACGTCTACTACTTACTCAAACATTGATCACACTACAAACAATACAAAACTATAATGCTATAAGAAACAGAAAAGATTAATTCATTGTTTAC